TGCTTTCCTCTTAGTCGGCCTCTGTGGTCTCGCCTGGCTTCCTTAGTATTGTCATCTTGAATGAAGAACAAACGTGCTCATTAGAACACTGTTGACAGCTGCCTCATATACGTATTGAAAAACCAAAACAAACTAAGCAATTGTAAGCCAAAAATCCTCTCTCCTTCCCTATTTCGCCCAAGTTTCTATCAAAAATAAAGGCAAACTATCGTGAGTAAACTTGCTTCCACCGCATTGAAAACGGGTTATTTTTCAACATTGGCGCTAGAGAAAAGCGTTGACTTCTTTTACTTGGCATTTGAATCCGATTAAGGCTGCAGAAGAATGTAATCAATATTCTCTGATTAAGAAACAGTTAGGCTATACTAAACGTTCTCCCACAATTTCATCAATGTACCTGGTATTTCATCAGCAGTTGTTCCACAAGCACCTCCTTTCGTTTCCGCTCCTTCTGTTCCTCTTGATGTATTCCCCTGTGCTTCTCCATTTTGCTCTGATGCTTCTTCGGACTCTAAAATGTCAATCAATCAAGTCCATGCTAAGCTATCATATACCAAAACATTTTACTTTCATTGGCGGATCACTTGAATCAATAGTATTGGTCATTAGTAAGTTGTTTTAGTAAGTAATGTTAGTATTTAATTGTGGCCGTAGTATTGTGTGTTGATTTTAGCAGATTTTGGCCATTTTGGCCATAAATAGTATATGGTTTTTGCACTCTAGCCTTGATATGCCCTTCACAAATTACGTTTACGGTAATTTAACATTGGTCTGAACTAGGGAACTGGTTATAGCGCAGGTCTGAAACAGGGTTTTGATTTAAGGGTCAGGTCATAAATAGGGTTTATTAGGTAGGGAATATCGCAGATTTTGGTCATAAATAGGGTAGGGTTTTTGGGAAGCGGGCCGCACACCCCCACCCAATTTTTCCCGAGAGCTGTAGCTCGTAAGTAGTGTCCATTTTGTTTGGTATTGTAAGTAGCTGTAGTATTGTAAGTAGTGTAAGTGCCCTAATAAAAACATATTTAAAGAAAAAAAAAGGATTGCTCATAACATATATCACTTATTTCACAGCTGCTCAAGTTGTGTATATAACTGCGATGATCAATCATGTCTCATATATCACTGCCATAGAACATTTTATCTTTTCAGTTCGGAGATCTCATGTAACAGTGTATAGACCAACGAAATTCCCTTCCATCTCAAGAATTGCGGGCGAAATTGATTTACCTTCCATGCAATATCAAATTTTAGCCTATAACATAGCGTAATTAAGGGTGTTTTCTAAGGCCATGGCTCATGGTTAGTGCGCTCGTCTCCAGATGGAGCGGTTCGGGTTTGAGGCCTGGCCGTGGACATTGTGTTGTGTTCTTGGGCAAGACACTTTACTCTCACAGTGCCTCTCTCCACCCAGGTGTCTAAATGGGTACCGGCGAACTTAATAGTCACCCATGTCAAGGCTAGAGTGCAAAAACCATATACTATTTATGACCAAAATGGCCAAAATCTGCTAAAATCAACACACAATACTACGGGTACAAACAAATACTAACATTACTTACTAAAGCAACTTACTAATATTTCCAAGGTGAGTGATTGTTTGTTCTCATTTCTCTGAATGTCCTATCTATATGTTAATCCAAACTTACTAAAACAACTGACTAATATTTCCAAGGTAAGTGATTGTTTGTTCTCATTTCTTTGAATGTCCTATCTATATGTTAATCCAAACTAGAGAGCTTCCTATCTTGATCAAAATCAGATAAAACTGAATTAAATTACATCTTTATGTTCTTATAACACATTTTTACCACGATAAAAGGAAACTTATCGCTGTATTATGGCTGGGACCTGCTCGCCCGCGCTTTGTACAACGGGCTTGCTTTCCATTATGCCAAAGATTCCGAAAAATGTCGATCGGAATTCAAATGGAAAGGTCCGTTTCGGTTTCTTCTGACCGGAATATTCGGGATCACCTCTGGAGGTGGTCCACTTATTACGGTTGGAATAGTCCGACCGAAATTCGCCGTTCCATTTTTGACAAACCGGTTTTTTGTTTTTTGGGGAATTCGGAAAGGAATAGAAAGTGGTAAGAGCCATTCCTATTGGTTGGCCCGGTTCAATCGGAAAATGTCGATCCATTTTCGTCGGGTATTCCCACTGATCTCTGACCGGTCGGTTTGGCATAATGGAGAGCACCCCGGGTGCGTCAGAACCAGTGAAGTTCACTACAGCCTCGACTAACTGTACTATTCCGACTTGTGTAAATTTTAGCTCTGGTCCGGCATAACCCATACTTAATGCATTACAGGGTCTTACAGAGGTCTGGCCAATTCCACAGAGAATAGACGTTATTTTATACTTGGAAGTGTGAAATGCTCTTTACTTAGCTCTTATTAACCGAGCATGTATGGGAGAATGTTGACCGAGGCCGTGAGTACAGACCGAGGTCAAGATTATCACATACAGACCGACTAAGCTCGGTTAATAAGATGTTTGTTATATGGCAAACAAGAACAATTTAAAAATTCGTTTAATGCAACTGGTTTGTACTAACTGATATTTTGCTTGCGAACGGCGATGAGCCGAATTTAATTCTGCGGAAGTTTGCTCGTCCTCTTTACTTTTTTCTCATCAGGCTTTTTGGCACGTCCATAAATAAATATTGTTAGATGAATAGTCAATGATTTTGCATTTTAGTTTACAACTTTTTCACTGCAAAAATTACCGGGCTAGATGCCGGTCTAGATGGGAAAATCTAGACCGCTTTCAACATCAAATTCGTGAATTTGGTAGTTCCCAGTCCTTGTGAGACAGCCATATAATAATGTTTCTAACAAGCGTTTACCTATGGCCTCGTCCCCAGGTCTGTCTTGCTTGTTTTGTTTGTCGAATTTGCCCCGCCATTTCGCTCTCTTCGACTTAGGCATGGTGCTGAAAAGAGAAATGCAATAGCAGAGATGAATCCCACCGTTTTAAAGAGAAAAGTTCATTTAACTTAAATCATTCTTTTCCTGGACGTTTATGTGTGAATTTTAAAATGACAACAAAAGTGAGTGGAAAAGGTTCCTTGAGTTATTTACAGATTGAAATAGTTTCACTGACTTGATAAGGGCAGACGTTTCGGCAAATATGAATTAAAATTCTTTGGCTGTGTATGTTTAAAAATGTGTGTAGTGGGAACACATCTAGTGATTCAAAATGTGTACTAAACCGCCTAAACTACATCTTTAGACCTCTATAGGCATCAGAAACCCGTGCCATGTAATTTTCATTATGCGCGTGTTGAAGTGTCATTCAAGAAACGCTGAAGAAACGATGAAGAAACGTTGCCACCGTTGTCATGACTGCAGCAACCAATCTAGTCCAGTTCTGGCCCTTTCTCTGTCATGCAACGCTACGCTCTCGGAGAGAGAGGGATCCTCTCTCTCCGAGAGCGTTGCGTGACAGCGAGAGGGCCAGAACTGGACTAGAACCAATCAAGGTCTTTGTAAAATTACTTAAAAGCGACTTCTTAAAGTCTGGACTTATATTTTGCTCGTTTCGTATCCTGTGACTGGCGTCACCGAAAATCGGCCTCAAAAAGTATCAGGGTGCGAGGGAATTTTCCAGATGACATCAGTTGTTAATTTTATCGTTATTCCCAGGATTCGTCATGTAGAAAAGACTCAAAGGAACGAATGGGAGCAAAAGGAAAATACATTCACAGAAAAAAAAAAAAACGAGCGACGTATTCGGAAAATTTAAAAAGATTATGAAACTGAGCTCTCTTTCTTCATGTTTATCTTTAAAAAACGCAAGAGGACTCCAAGAGTCAGTCACACCGGAAACTCATGAGGGAGGTTCTTGTTGCGTGTTTATAATAGAAGTAGCATGCTGATGTAGTGTCTGAAATTGCAAATCTTTAATTTTGTTCAGCTCAAACGCCTGAAACAACTCACAGAAAATAGAATGAGGCCAGTGTTGGCATGGCGGCAGAACGTATTGTCCGGCTACACGTTTCACCGGAGGTTTTTTCTTCTTTATTCTCAATTACTGGGAAGCAGTCACAAGAGTAATTAGTAGATTGCCCTAATGTCTGAGACTCATATTCGCACAACGGCCAAGTTTGTTCATCCGCTGCACATTTCGCCAACTGTTTTTGATGAAGTTAGAGATTTATTCCTTACACAAAATTCAACGAGTTAAATTTTCTACC